TCGCTGCATGTGATACATTCAACAAACTTCCAGACATTGAGTTGGCCCCTATTCCCAATCAGCCAGCTCATCCTCAAGGTGAAAAAACAAATTTGCCCCATGGGTATGACAGCAAAATAAATAAATAAATAAATAAATAAATAAATAAATAAATAAATAAATTGATGTGAGACCTGGGTAATCTTGCCTTAAACAAAAACAACATGCTTTTCCCCAGGGTGATGGAGGGCATTGACTCATGCACACTCCTTTCCTGAAACCTTGACATGATTAACAACCTAGGAAAAGATTTGCCGCTTGAATCAACCTTCCCCACTCTGGAGCTGTCCGGAGGCATTCTCTTCCAGCCTCCATCACCCAACAAGCAGCAGTTTACGGGCTGTTGTGGCTGGGGATGAGAGGAGATGTAGTCAAACACACCTGGGGAACATCAGCATCTCAAGGCTGTGATAAACACTAGATCGACCCCCTGTCGCCCTCCTGAGTAGGCTGGACTGCAGCTCCCATCACGCCCAGCCACTGGGAGTTGTCATCCAAGATAGTTGGGGGGAACCAGCTTGCCTCCCCCACCCCAGCAATGAAGAAACTTCATGCGTGCGGGCGCGCACAGAGCTGAGAACGCCACTCAGGTTCCGTGACTGGGAGCAAATCCTGAGCAAGCCGTGAAGGGAGGAGGGTGAGCCACCGATGACTCTGCCGGGCCGCCCCATCCCGTGCAGCCAAGCTCCAGCATGCTAACACACACGTAGGAGTTGCGCCCGGCAACGCAGCATCTTCTTCAGCCATGCGGAGAGGAAGGGGCAGCGGGAGGACAGGCTCCCTGTGGTTCCGTCTCGGGTGCAGAACCGCACGTATGGTGGGCGTGTCCCGACCGAGCGGATTGGCTGAGGAGCGGCCGAAACGTTCCACTCATTTGCATCGCTCTCCTGCATCCGGGAGGAGCATCCCTCAGCCCCAAACGGAGCAGCAACCTGATGGGGACGCGGTCCAAAAGACGGCATGTGGACGAGTGCCTGAAAGAGGATCCTAATGCGCCTTTCGAGCCAGAACACACACCCTCTTTCTCCAGGACGGGTAAGTACTAACAGCGGGGTATCGGAGGCTGAAAATTATTCATTTTTTTCAGAATCGCAGGGATACCTGAAATAGGCAAGGAAGACTTGCAGGTTTTTGAGATTTTTGCAGAAGGACTATGGGTAGGCAGAACTGATGGTTTTAAGAGGAAATCAGGCAAATTCATGCTCACTAGAATCCTGAAAGGTTACGATTTCAGACTACAACTCTTAGAATTCCCCTGCTAGCAGGTGTAGTGGGCGGCGGGGTAGGGGGAAAGCAACGGTTTCCAGACTCTGCTCTTTCTCTTGACAGCTTAACAGTCTCTCTGTGCAAACTACTTTTTACTATGAGAAAATAAAAGAAAGCTGCTACTCTTTTGTGAGTTTTCTGGAAGGAATTTTGTTCAGTAAATTTATGTACCATTGTTTCTAAACTGCTATCTTGAAGTGATATTCTAAGTTAGCCCAGCCCAACTGCAAACAAGAAGTTAAGCCAAATTAACTGTCTTTTCAACCCGGGCAGGATCTTCTGTATCACAGGTCTGCCTCCCACACACTGGCTCAGTATGTTCTGGGATCCCATTAAGTTAGAGAATCATTGCCTTCACACATAGGTCCTTCGAGCAGTGCCAGCATAAAATCAGCTTGGCAGTCCTGTGTGCTCTATCATGCACTGGCGGACAGCTTTTAAAATCAGAGAAACCCTGTTCTTTTTGGCATCCGAACACCCTTATTTAGGTAGTTTAATGAAAGACCTATTTGCTCCAGATAACGGAGAGATGGATAACATTCTTGCCACCTGCAGACTGGTGGGAAGAATGTTAAATCAGAACCGCTGTTCATAACTTGACTTGTAGGATGATGATGATGATAAGGATGTGCCATCACATTTTTCTAACTTATGGCAACCTTTTCCAGGGTTTCCTAGGTAAAGAGTAATGTGGTCTGCCATTCCTTTCTTCAGGGGGTACTTCTGGGACTGTGTAGTTTGGCCAAAGCTAGACAGGTTGGCTCTTCTCAAAAGAGGCACAGTAGGGAATGAATTTGCCAATCTCAACAGAAGTACCCAACTTATTGTACTATACAGGCAGCAGAGAATTAAGTTAACTACATTCTAAACACAATGGTCACAATTAAGAAATGATTAGGTTCTCTTATTTCATTTCTCCTTGCACAGCAAAACTTTTCTAATAAGCTACTGCAAACAGACTTGCAGAATTGGAAGCAATGGGGGGGATAATGAGAAGACAAAAAGGGACAGCTGGTTAAAACAAAAGGATCTGAGCTGTCACAATATGGCATCCTCAGTTGCTGACTTCTTTAGTTAACAGGGATGGCAGAAGAATATTTTATTATGTTAAATCATTTCAAATAAGATATACATTTTAAATCTGCCTAAAAACTATAGAGGTATAGTATATGCCATGATATGTCATATGAAACTATATTTAGGTTTTGTTTTCAAACTCTGGTAAGGTATATAATGCCACAATTTGCTGAAACTGGTCAATAGATTTCTGTGAATGCAGAATAGCTAATACAGTACAAACAAGATCATTAAATACACATTTATTTGCTAGTGTGCAGCAGCTGAATAAAACCCCACTTTTAAAATGAACTATATTATGTGCTACCATAGAAGGGACATAGAAGGAGCCTCCTGAAAGTGGAAAATAATTGCGAGCATTCTCAGCCATTCCCTGGACAATGGTGTGCTGCCAGCCAATCACGCATTGCATTGTAAACTTGCTGAAGAGCAAAATGACCCAATAGTCCATTTAAGGAGTGCAAAATTTTTATGTAAATTTATTTATTTAAATATAGAAGTCTGACTTTGAATTGTATTTATGTAAATTTATTTAAATAAAAATAAATAAATTACAATAATTTCTATAAATTCATTTAGATAGGTGCTTCTGGTTAAAAGTCTTATTATCTTAACATTTTAATTTGTTTTAATGCCTATATTTCATATATGTCCATAATTTTAAATTGTGCAAGGTTCTGATATGAATAAAGATGTGCTGTCAAATCCCTTCTGACTTATGGCAACCCTAATAAAATCAAGGTATGTGAAATGTTTACTGGTGATTTAGTATTGCCCATTCTCAGTGAGTTTCCATGGCCAAGTGGATATCTGAGTTCAGGTCTCACCAGTCCTTGTCTGACACTGTATTTTTCAAAGATGTCACTGTCTTATTTGTATAGTATGTTGTTTGTCCTTCATGGGCTGCTATATTTTCTAGTATTATTTAGATGCATATACCAAGTTCAACAGAGAGCACAAAATGAGATACTTGACACAAGTGGCAGCTAATTAAAAAAATTGTTCTCACAAAACCAAATTGAAAAGATGTTTACATGTATTTGGATAGTATCAGATGGAATCTCTGCCTGAACAGAAGGCTAGGTATATCTTATTTTTCCCTTTGAAAAATATGAAATTCATTATGCAACATGCCATGTGCAAGACTGTATATATGTTCGAAAGCATGTAAAAATGCGAGTAGATAAATAGGTACCACCTCGGTGGGAAGGTAACGGCGTTCTGTGTCTAGTCGCGCTGGCCATGTGACTGTCTTTGTACAAACGCTGGCTCTATGGCTTGGAAATGGGGATGAGCACCTCCCCCTAGAGTTGGACACAACTGGACTAAATGTCAATGGGAACATTTACCTTTACTTATGTGGCAATTATTTAGTTCTTTGAACTAAACACTAGTTATGCAGCAATCTCCTCAAGCAACGTGGGTGATTTATGTCAAGTTACAGCGACCCTGTGCAACCAGCTACAAAGCAGATTTCCACTTAGCAACAGTGCTGTGAGAAGCAGTCCAAGAGTCACAGCTTGACAGGCAATGTCAACAACATACAACATGCACAAGTCAGCAATGGATGCCTTTTATGCAGGGCTACATTCACCTCTTCTGTGAAAAATCATGTACTTTTTCATGTAATCCAGAATTGTACTTGAAATTATAAAACTCTTCCATTTTTATAATTCCTTCATCTGCCCATGGTCTACATGCCACAGTACAAGAACTGATGCATTAGATTTAGCTAAGCTTCAGGTTACTTCTGATCCTAAAACTCTTTCTGACACTTCAAAATGTAATATACTGTATAGAAGTCGCAGATTCTACTAGAATAGGCTGGCATACTTGATACTGTAGATTCATTTACATTGTTGCTTCCTAGTATGGAACAAGCTTGGGACAGTAGTATATGGGTTAATGCAGAACACTAGTTTCCAAACTGCATGGATTTGCACCGCCTGGGAATGAGCAAGCCTGAAATGTTTATTTTTTGTTTTGAATTTCAAGCAAGTTTTTCAAATCAAAACAAGGAACTAATATCTGCTAAGCAGATGACGTCTATGTACAGGGCAGAAAAGTATGTTTAGGCTGTGATTATATAGCACTGTGGAGCGCTAAACAGCAGCCTCTGATCTGAGAATTCAATATATACTGCTTTTGCATTTTTCCTTAAGGGAGTAGTCACTGTGACAAAAAGAAATGGAAGACAAAGAAAAAAACATGCAGGCAGCATCAACAAGTGTAGGTGAGTGATGAATACCCTCAATTTTTGCTTGTATCCTTGTATACTGTATGTTTAAGTTATTCAAAAGTATTCACATTTTGAGAAACACTGAAAATTAACACATCATCCCCAAATAGTATGCACAAGTCTCCTTCTTCCCATAATGTTTTTCTTGAAGTACCACACAATTATTATACTAACACTATTTCAAAGCTGCTGTAATTGACTACATTTGGCAGACTAAATTCAGAGGTAGCTTGTCATGTGCATAAATAACTTCACTCTGATCTGTCCAAAGCAGTCACATAACAATTCTTCTTTCTGAATGTTATACACACAATTTCTGTCTCTCTGTTCTACATACACCTGTTTCCTGCACATAGGTATTATACACATTGGGGCTTATGCTTATCCCTGTCTAATAGGGCTTGTTTACTCTTCTGTTCACATGGTACACCTATTAATGTTTCTGTGAGAATTAATAATACAAATAATTCCAATGCACACTTGATTACCTGGGCAGGTAATTGTGAGGCAAGGAATATTCAAATTAGTGCTAAATTACCTGAGTCAGTAACTCAGAACCTAGCAATGCTTGGGCTTTTCAGTTTACAGGGGAATGACTTGAAGCTTAAGACATGAAGCTTTATGTCTCAGCATAGAGCATGGCCATGCCAGTATATTACCTTTATGGCAAAAACTGCCAGTACACAGTGTTCTATAGTAATTTCTTAAGTCTGGAAACTCTGATTTCCTGATTATTGCAATGACTTCCTCAAAACACAAAAAGTGTTATTCATGCTGATCTCCCCTTGCTGCTCAGTCAGATATTTTTCTGATCTGTAATGCATTAGAACATGGTGCAGAATATGACAGAAATCAACTTAAACCTAACCCTACTAAGACTTGTATGTGTGCCTTTCATCTGAGAAATAAAGAGACCTTTTGGAAATTTCAAATTTACCAAGAGGCAAATCCAAACAGATCATTTTTTGCCCCCCATTATTCCAGATGTTATACGGATCGAACACTGGGGCACACAACCAGAAAGACTAAGAACCACAGCCATGGTCTTATGCTGCCCATAGGCCAGTATGCCAGCCCAGTGTGGTATCTATCGTTCATACAGACATAGCCCTCAATGGGCACATCCTGTTGGCGTAACTTTGTGTGTCATAACCGGCACCAGGCACCGGAATTATAAAGCTTCCTATCATCTTCCTTTTTGGTATCAGAGCTCCCCTTTTGCCTGGGGAAGACTTCAGAAGCATTGGAACTATTAATTTAATAGTAAAACATTGCCAGCAGAGGTGCTGATCCTACCAGCAACATTTTTTTAACCATTAAAGGCTCCATCCCAAACCTGGTATCTCAAGGCTCCCAAAGGTTTTGGTTGTTGTTTAGTCTTTAAGTCATGTCCGACTCTTCATGTCCCCATGGCCCGGTCCTCCACTGCCTCTTGGAGTTTGGCCAAATTCATTTTGGTCGCTTCGGAGACACTGCCCAACCATCTTGTCCTCTTCTCCTCTTGCCCTCACACTTTCCCAACATCAATGTCTTTTCCAGGGAGTCTTCTCATGAGATGGCCAAAGTATCCTCAAAACTTGAAAGGAGAGGATATAAGCTTTTAATTGTTTTAAATTAAATGCTTTTGGGGCCTGATCAGGATTATGCTGGAGCAAAGTTACATAACAGTATTTTGTCCTATGAAAGCTACAGAATTATTACTGGATCCCTGAAACCAACCCCTATTGATAAAATCTCTTACCTAGCAGGTGTTGCATCAGTGACATATTGAGAGAGGTGGCAGCTAACAACAAAAGACTCAAAGCATCTACATCAAAATGCGCATCCACTCTTTGGCTATTACCCTTCCCCTCCCAGATTAAAATCGGGGAAACTTTTTTCACGACATCTGTGACTCTGTAGAAATAACAGAGAATGCCAGGACTATGTGGAAAGAAAGTACTATCCAACTCTTGAAATGAGTAGAACCTCGGGAAAAGTCTAGCCCTCAGTCACACAGAGAACTGGGTTACCTGGAAGTCACTTAGCAGGCTACAGAATGGAGTGGGAAGAAACAAAGTGAATCTAAGAAAATAGGGCTTTTGCGCCAACACAGTTCTTTGCAATTCAGAGGAACTGGCACCATCACACCCTCTGACAGTGTCCTCTATGCCCCTCAACGTGTATTATGAAAGATTTAATGCTAGCTAGAAAGATATAGGGATTTCATACCATCCCAGTAGGCTTCAGTACTGCTTACAGACAGAGGCCTGTTATGTTTTCAGTCAGCAGTCCTTTCTGATTAAGTCTGCATTCCCAGAGCCACTAACCTGGAATTAAATGCTACTGAACTCAGTGGAGCTTACTTCTGAGCTACCAACAACAAGATACTGTGAATTCTTCAGACTTTCCAGGACAAGCAGGAATATGTTAGAACTATGTATCACACAACTCTATACTACTGCTCAATATGCATCTAGCAACCCATGATTTCAGTGGCGAACATCAGACAATCACACAACCACTTCTGACAAAAAGCATTGTAGAGACTGGGCATTCACTGTCATCTGTAAATACAGCACTTTGTTGCAGGCCTGGTCCACGTATATTTTATTGATGTAATAAAACAATCCAGTTAGTGTTAGATCCAACCACAAAATGGAAAAAAAAGAAGGGGAGAATTATTATACAGCACATAGAAGGAAAATAAGATGTTTTGTGACATATTTCCTAAATTAAAAAAAGAGTCCTAAAATACATTCAGCATTACTGAAATCTATGGTTAACGAAACAAAATGAAACAAATGAATATTAATAGCAACAAGGTGCATAAAATCCAAAACATCAAATATTACCAAGCAACTCAGTGGTGGAACTAGGTAATTCTGCTATCAAGGCAGGATGTTTTATGATCTGCTTGAAATATCACCTCTACCAAGCAGGGAAATTGGAACATTTAGATTCAGTTATTTAGGTACACAACATCAGCATGAACTTTCACAGCTAAAGGTGGGAGGGGGGATTCTCTCTGAGTGGGCAAAGCAACTTAAACACCAAAATTGTCATTTATTTCAAAAGAAAATGTGCCCACATAAATAACATAAGAAGAGCCCTCCTAAATCAGACCATGGCTCTATCTAGTCAAGCCAGATGCTTCTAGGAAGCCTGTAAGCATGTTATGAAGGCAGCGAACCTCTCCAGTTGCTTTGTGCCTCTCTGAACAACTGGAGGATCAATCTGGTTGTTATAGAAGAGAGCCCCATCCTCCATGCCTATTCTTTCTAAAAGCTGTATTAGCCACTCACCATCACTACATTGTGGCAGTGAATGTGTTGTGTGAAAAAATGCCTTCGGTCGGTCCTGAAGTCAACTTTATTGGGTGAGCTTGAGGTTCTTGCACTGCAAAAAATGAGTGACCCTTTTCTTTGCGTTCTCTGCAACTATAAAGAATTTTATAAGACCCCTCCCACAACTCTTTCCCCCACTTAAACTAAAAAGCTTGAAACGTTGCTAGCCTCTCAAGATCAAAACTTTCGTTTTCCCCTAACCCCACTTGGACATCAACACAGCATTTAAGAACTCTCTTGTAATACAATGTGACACACACACACAAAAATAATTCTACATGATTTCACAGGCAATAAACATAAACAAGAGGAAAATAAAGTAAATGTTGCCCTTAAAAACTAGCTTTATAAATGCAAAATATATTGCATGAGGAACTGCTGGCATTTTGTATTTATTTTCTTAAGAAAATAGATTGTGCGATTGTGGCTACAAATGCACCTGCTGCAAAGCCATGTTTCTCCTTTAAAAAAAAGTAAAGTAAAAAAAAGTTCTGAACATCATAGAGCGATAGAGCACAAGGTGCCTTCCACCCAAGATAGGAAGCGTAGACAGTTTTACTGTGATGACATATAGTTTGATAGAAATTTTCTCAGCGACAAACTCCTTGTCAAAATAAAAAATAAATACTTTTTCTTTTTTTAAAAAAAGGTGCCTACTTCAAAGCTGCCATTGCAAGCGTGTTCTAAATGTACTGGACTTTGTTTATGTACCAAAAATGCACCATTAGCTGAGTTACTGTTGTTAAAAAAAGAGGGGGAGAAAAAACTAACTTTCTCTAAGTAGAAGACTGTCCAAAGTAGAAAGGGAGATCAGAACCAAACTAACTGAATTAGTGCAGTATTTGTAGCCAGGCTTCTAAAATCAGATATAGAAAATATAAATAGACTGCTTTTAGGTGGTGAGTCACCAGTGTCCAAAAAACCAGAACAACTGTGAAAAGGGTTGGGGGGAAGCTCAGTTGACTTGATCCAGGGCTTTCAGCAACTCTTCACCTTGTAGCAGGTTTCGGTTGCCTTGTATAGGAGCGTTCACTTCACAATCGTAGCTGGTAAGTTGTGGGAGTCCCTTCTTGTCCATCGACTGACCTAGAAGTTTACTTGCTATATCTAAAAGGAAATAAAGAATGTGTGTTACTTATACAACGTTAATCTATACATGGGAGTATTTCTCAGTACTACAGTAAAAGAGAATAACAGTTACGTATACAGTGGACCCTCGACTTACAGACAGCTCGACTTACAGACTTTTCGAGTTACAGACTTCTCTGGCTGCAAAATTTAGATTCGACTTACAGCCGGAGAATCGACCTACAGACCAGAAAAAAACCAAAATGGAACAAAAATAGAATAAAAACTGCCAGTTGTGGGATTAATCAGTTTTCAATGCATTGTAGGTCAATGGAGATTCGACCTACAGACTTTTCGACTTACAGCCACCGTTCGAATACGGATTAATTCCTTAAGTAGAGGGTCCACTGTACTACATCTTCGAAACATTTAACTAGTGGCACCTAATGATCAGGACTATTGGTACAGTGTATTTATTTCTCTGAATAGCAGAGAAAACAAGTAGAGAACGAGCTACAGAAACATTCCTTTGCCTTCACTTGAAAACAAAAAACAAGAGTTCCTTCCTTGAAGTTATGAACATGTGGGGTCAAAAAACTATACATTGGAAAACTGTAATCAATGCCTCATGTAATACCAAGCCATGGGAGTGGTTGGATACAATTTCTAGTACTCAGGATGATGCGACATATTTTATATAGTCTGCAAAATTCAGTTTCTTAAGTCACAGAATCAGAGTGCATTAAAAAAGGCCCCAAATCCTGTTGCATAAAGTACACTGGTATGAGGGAAATGACATTGCTATAGAGGCAGACTGCAGGTAAAGTGTTCCTACTTTGATCCTGGGGCTCACATGATTCACGCACAATCAGACTGACTGCATGCAAGTTGTACCTCTGGATCAAAGCAGGAACTCTTTAATTACTGGGAATCTGACACTGCTGGTGATGTTGTCTTCCTTAACAGTGGTGTACTTATGTACAGTGGTGCTTCGCATAATGACGAATTTGCTTTACGATGAGGTTTCGGAGTAGTCTTGCGCTTCGTTTAATGATGTTTCCTATGGGCGATTTTCGGTTTACGTTGTTAGGGACCTTGCCTCGCAAGAAGGTTAAATTTTAGGTCCGTTTTTCGCTTTACGATGTTTTTGACAGCTTGGTCTTGCTTCACTATATGAGTCTTTTAATGGTCTCTGTTTCGTTAGATGGCTGTTTCGCTTAGCGATTTTCACAGAACGAATTAACATCGTCTTGCGAGGCACCACTATAACAGAATTTTGGCCAAAAAAAACACAAACCTATAAGCAAAAAAAAAAAAAAAAAAAAAAAAAAAAAAAAAAAAAAAAAAAAAAAAAAAAAAAAAAAAAAAAAACAAAAAA